GTATCAGTATAAGCAATCGAATAAGGTGTTTCCCACCAGTTCCCCTTCATACAGTTTTTGCCTCAGTTTTGTACTCATACTGGGTGTAAAGGTGACAAGGATGAGCAACCAGTGGTTCTTCAGCTGCATGTGGTTCACAGGCAGCTGAGGCAGGCTCCCAGGCTAGGGCTGTGTCTTCTGAGCCGCAATAAGGGTGTAGTGACACAGGCAGTATTGAGGAATAAAGCCATCCCATGGAAGGAAAGTATACCTGAAGAGCTCTCCCTTCTCTAACACGTGAAACACTCACAGAGCATTCCCTCCCACTCCGCAGCTTTCCAAAACAGACATCCTGCATCTTTCACCCATTTGAATCTAAAGGCAAGAAAATTTTGATATAAAACTTGTGCAGTCACGACATTTAGTCATCATTACTACAGACGATCATGTGTCTACCAGCAAAGTTCTACCAGCAAACATCTTCTTTAATGCCACAGATCTACACTCACCCTTACGGTTCTCAGGGTACTTGTATTATTACGGTGTTTTTCCTGTCAGAAGAAGATTAGGCAGGAACAGGGTGCAAGGGTTCTGAAAGGCAAGATGGTCTGTTTGGTAATGAAGCCACTTCCCTAGTGCCCCATAGTCCTGCCGTGAAAGATAAAAGCATAGTGGTAATTTGGTATCTTTGCTTTCCTCCCCTGAAACTTTGGCAAGATTTTCAAAAGCATCTCAGATCTTGCAGCTTCCACAGAAGTCAGAGCTTGCAATGCTGAATGTCTCAGAAAAGCAAAGCATTACTATTGTTATTCAGATAGGATTCCAGACTTAGAGTAGCAGTTAATGAGACCATACAGATTTTATACCCACTTGTTGGTTAAAACGCAAGTTTCTAATATGTGCAGTCCATCCTATGTACCATCACATTGCCTCTGCTTCCTCTTCTCTTAAATTTGGCTAATTTTACAGCAACAGAAATTGAGAGAAAAAAAGTCAAAATTAAAGGCAGACATTACTTATCATTAACCTAGAAGTATTTTTTTCTAGAACACCGCAGTTCATAAAACAAAGCCAAAAAGATAAAGCAAGGAATTAAATATTAAAGTATACAAATAATCCAGAAAGTTGGAACCACAGTTCCTAAGCCAGATAAAATATGGCTTACCACATTGCTTTTTAATACTGGCATAAGAAAAAAAAAATCCAAAACCTCAGGCTGTTTTTATCCTCCAATAACAGGTAGTATTACTAGTGTCAGAGGGGCGCTTTATAACCTCAAGTGATGCTTTTCCTTCCCCCCTCTCCCAGATCAGTAGCAACAAAACGCAATTTCTATTTAAGTCCATTCTTCAATTTGTAGGTATCTGTATAGATACGGGGCAATGCAAAACTCATTACAGGGTTTAGCAAGTTGCTTTCAGTGATGCGTAAAGTATATTTCAATCCACAAGTGATGAGAGCAGAGAAACTTACCGTTTGCATTAAAAAAATTAAAAAATTAAAAAACAAACCCAAAACCAAACCTCTTTTCTCTTTTCAGTGGTAACCACGCTGAAAAACCAAACCAAAACCCTCCCACGTTTATTAAGCACATCACCACTAGGGGGCTCTAAAAGGCAGAACTTCCCTTTAATCTTATTTTCACAAACGGATGAAAATGGTTCAAACCCAATGGAAAACAAATAAATTTTACTAGATTTATAAACTGTTGATTAGAAAAGTTTGACTCTAAACTAAAGAGATTTTCAGCTGACTGAAGAAAACACCATGAAAAATACGTGACTCCACAAAGCTTTTTACTAGCCATACCTTCTGCAGTAGCTACACTTTTTTTTAAAGACGACACTGTTTCTTGCCAAGACAACGCTTTGCACAACTGCAAGTAACTGCACCAGTACGTATGCGACTATCCAGCATTGCTTCAGGCAAACATCCATAACTTCATGTCAGTGCTAGAGAAAATTCTTTCTGTTCTACCACAGCCAGTGCTGCAGACATACATTACAATATCCCAATTATGTTCTGTACTTCATCAAATTTCTCTGTCAAAGTAACACAGCAAATCTATGAACTATATTGAACCATCCTATCCCAGCAACTACAGAAAACACAAGGAGAAAAAACAGCCCCCCAAGAGGAATGCAGGGGCACTAAAGCCATTCTCAATGGGTAACAATTTAAGCTTTACAATACACCTCCATGTATTACCCTCTGTTTAGCAAGGATTTAGATCCCACACAGAAAAAATATAAAACCAGAATTTTAGTGTGGCAAGGACAAAAGGCTCAAGGTCTTCTAAACACCTTTAAGCAATCTGATCCTAGTGATTTACTAGCTGTCATTTTCAAAATCAGCTGAAAGTCCGACCCTATGTCTGGGTGAAATATTGCGCTGGCTAACACATTCACTTGCGACCACATTTTGAAAACGGGACTTGGTCGTTGAATGCTCTGCCTCTGCCAACAGTGAGCACCTGCAGACACTGACAAGTGGACAAGGAGACAGGTAGGTGACACCACTACCGCTGTGTCCTGGGTGGGAAGCCGAGCACTGTGAGGTGCACTGAAGCCTTACCTTCTTCCTGAGCTTCGGAAGAATATTGCAGGACAGCAACCCCCTTCGCGCCGCTGGAGCGGGTGGCAGGCGAGAAGTTCTTTAAGTGACCCAGCCATTTGCCCCAAAGGCTGCCAGCGAGGGGAAATCCAGGGAACACCAAACTGTCATCGAAAGCCTACACT